AAAGAAAAGAAAAAAGAAAAAGAAAAGAACCTCACCATCATTATTAGTGCTGTTATCTTGGCTCACAGACCCAGGCTCAGTCTGCTGGTGGGCCGTCACAGGCCACAGCACATGAAAAGCATCCGCCAAGACTCAAGGGTATGCCTTGAAGGTACTCATGGAAAGACTCAAATGTTACCTTTCTCATGAAAGATGAAGAAGAAAAGAGTAAAGAGTGTTTACAATCCGAAAGCCCCAAAGCCAGGCGTGGTGGCTCACGCCTGTAACCATCTCTACTAAAAATACAAAAATTATCCAGGCATGGTGGTGTGCGCCTGTCATCCCAGCTACTCGGGAGGCTGAAGCAGAAGAATAGCTTGAATCTGGGAGGCAGAGGTTGCAGTGAGCTGAGATCGCGCCACTGCACGCCAGCCTGAGGGACAGAGCAAACTTCTGCCTTGAAAAAAAAAGACTCCGTCCTCAAAAAAAAAAGAAGGCCCCGAAGTATCTTAAAAATGAGCCTGGCAGGAAAAGTATCTAAGCTGCAGTGGCCACACCCCGCCATCGCTGTGTTTACTGACGCCTCAGAGGACAGGCAAGTCTTACACATAGTAAAACTGCATGAAGCCAACAGGCAGATTTGGGAAAAGAAGCTGAATGTTCAGCGCAAGCTGTGAAATGAACTCTCTCCCTTGTATTAATTGAACCTACCACTATGTATATTGCAAGGGAGTCTCTATTCATCAGAAGACAATCCCAAACCCCTAAGATTTTCCTTCCTCCCACAGGTAAATAAAATGTGTTTCTGGCCAATTCGCAATGTCTTTCTAGAACGCCCACTGGGAGTGTGCCCAGCCTGGGAAGGCACTGTGACATTTTCAGGTCTCAGTGGAGCAGGCGCACCCCTGAGATAGAGTATTGGAAATCTGAGGGCGTTTATGGGTTTCTGTCATAACTGGGGAGGGGGACATGGGTGGCCTTTAATGGCCTGATGACATCCAGTGACTAATGGAACGGTCCCACACAATAGAGAAATGTCCCATATGCCGGCGCATTGCAGAATCTGCCACTAACGTTCTTATCCGTGAAAACCCTGTTGATGACAGTTAGAATTTATAACTCTGTTTTATGTGTATCTTTTTTTTTTTTTTTTTGGAGACAGTTTTGCTCTCGTTACCCAGGCTGGAGTGCAATGGTGCGATCTCGGCTCACTGCAACCTCCGCCTCCCAGG